TGTGTCAGGTTGAACCAGCTTCAATCACACTTACACCATCGACAAATGATCAGAGTGGTCGTTTCGATTCACCATATGATCTCATTGCGCGGGGTAGAACCCTACAGATTTCCTTCATTTCGGGTCCTACTGCTGCAGCCATTTCATTGAAGTGATTTTCATCCTGGCTTCTACTCTTATAGTTTGAGTGGTACCACTCCTCAGATGTGTTCTGGTTGTTTCTCTAGTCCAGCTTCAGATGTCTCGTTGCGGTAATACGCGGCGTGTTGTGCATTATAAGCGGACAACTGAACATCCGGATAGGGTTCATACTTGTTCTCAAAAAAAGCGCTGATTACAGCGCTACACTGCATGACTCGATTTTCCTTCCAAACGCCTCTGAGAATCGAACATGACTTCCATTCAATTCTAAGGCGACCTCCGCCATTGTTCTGAAAATCTTGAAGGTGGAGTTTACGACTGGGAGGCAGCCTACTGTATTTAATGCCGCGGGCCGAATTAGGTGCCAAAGATAACCCCTCCCGGAATGAGAAAGGGGTCTCAGGTTCAGGAGCCGCGACTCAAAAGTGAGCGGTAAGGGTACTCAGTACTTGCCTTATACGTTGCCAGCGCTGCCACTCTATCAATCGCTGCATACGTTGCGATTGTGCTCTCTCGTATTTCCCCTCTCCTTACAGGTCTGTGCCTCTCCGTTATACCACGGCCGACCTCACAAGTGAAATTTTAGTGTTTTCTATGGTGCTTTTCGTTCGCCACCCACGTTCCTCATCACACTTCTTGTCTAATTTTCGAATGAAATAACACACGAAATCGATCCCCACCCGTGTCTTTAGCTTTTACGTGGTAAGTGAAAACGGGAAACTTACGAAACGGACCCAAAATCTGAGAAATGGGACCCCTTCCTTGCCCGTTGATTTTGCATTGATGCGACTCTCATCGGTGCTGCCCTCTTCAACGCTAACGCTCTCTCTGCTAACGGCTAGAGACCTGCGGGAGTGGTTAGCCAGTCGGTGGGCGTGCCGCGTCGATAGCGCCGCGGGGACGGCCATGCTAGATCGCCGGGGCATACTTCTCGCTGCGAATTGCGTATCAGTCCACACCCTCAGGGGGCCGCCTGTCTTTCCACTAGCTAAGTTTCCCTTCTTCGACCTTCGACTTCCGTTATCGTAGAATACCCCCTTTAAAAAGTAGTTCTTCAACTTCTCCTCAGCGCAACTTCTCCAAAGCTTTCATTCCAGGTATTTTTCACAATAAACTGAACATTCCAGACAAGTGTATCATAAATTTTTATGTTTTATCAGAATTTTCAGAATCGATTATTTTTTTGAGCGAGCGCTTCGATTTTCCAGTTTCAGCACCTCCTAACACTCGTCCTGTGTGGCTCACAGCTCGGTAATCCATGCCATAGTCAGCTATTCGGAACAGCCTATCCATTTCCTTAAATACTTTATAATGGCACACAAAATCAATTGTAATCATTACTATAATTTGCATTATTACCACAAAACTGGTTTTTGTTGGACGTCCCATCCCACCTCAACTGACCATGGATATAAGTCTTGCGCAGACGGAGAAAAACACTATTTCGATAATGATCTTTACTCTGAACCAGTTAAATACATTGATGACAGCCCCTTGTGCGTGTACCTCGGCACCTTTTTGTTTATTTTTTTCACAATCGTCATAACTTCTTCAATAATTCCACTACTGGTAATTGATGCACAGTTTTTCGGATAAGATAATGCATGCACACTGTTTCTGAAATATGAAAAATGCCAGATAAATCGAAAAAAAAACTAGCCAGAATCGGGTGAAATTGAGACGCGCAACGCGTCTCACTGTCGTCGTTAATGTGTTAAAGGCAAAGTTCGGGCTCAGACCCACTTAGTGAGCCTTTACTGTGGCTAGAAGCGCTAGGTACGCAAGTGCAGAGGTCGCGTCACTTCCCTACTTCGAAAAGCGTTACTTAGACGCTAGGCGCTAAGAACTTTGACACGCTCCACCCACTGCGACATATCTT